CCCGGCCATCAGAGGCCTGCTAGTGAATCAGCTCTCATAGAGAACGCTGCCAAGATCCACCGCTCACACATGGCTACACACTCATACGCATCGCCACCCACACACACACTCGCAGACACACGCAGGTTCATGTGGAGGGCTTCCGTCGATATACACAACGAGATGTGTACACATCCTTGAACATAGGCACGTTTTCACACCTTTTGTCCGACTTGTGTGGTTTGAATACCTAGGATATTTGTTTGTATACACTGTCGGTTTCATAAATTGTGCATTTGAGATTTAGCGTATAAGTACAAATGACAAAGTTCTTGCCTTTACGTGCATGTTTGTTTTAATAAAATGTGTAAGCATACCTTTGTGTACTTGGGCAAGTGTGTGGGTATGTGTGTGTGCAGCCTTGGTTTGTGTCCAGGTGCCCATATGCTGCCAGGCAGGACAGGGCATATGGCCATCTGGTGGAAGATAGAAATACAACCAATAGGCTTTGACCTTTGGATTTGTTTTTTTGTCACAGCGCCGTACTGTATAATGTTCATCTGACATCATCACTTTTAGTTATCGTGAAGATCTTCTAGAAAAAAATAGATGGAGATGGCTGATTTTGCAAAGGACTACGTATAGTAAATCAATCAGAATCAGAATACTTGACTAGTCCCTGGGGGATGTTATGAATGTCATGTTTTCAGTAATAACACGTCCATTGTCATTCAGGACAGCTGCATGATGGTGGACATGTTATCCAGTGATTTATAGTTAACTTCTAAGCAGAGATACATAATAAAAGTCAGGACGCATTTCTGGCACCACTCTCTCATGTCATTATCCTAAAGCCACTCTGACAGTTCAATATAAATCATAGCGAATGCACCAGTTGCAGAATATCGTGCAGAAATATAGAAAAAAACAGCTTCCAAGCTCGTGCATTCAACCAAGCAATCGCTGACATTGATGTTTGTATGAGTAGAAGAAACATACTTCTGCTTCCTCGGGTAACATTTACGAGAAAGGCAATTGTTCACATCTATTTTTCATTCACCATCTTTCTTTTCTGTCTCTCTCTTGTTATTACATCTCAAAATAAAAGTAATATAATGGTATAGAACATGGGTCGGCAATAGGCGGCCCGCGGGCCATTGGTGGCCCGCCAGCAATAATATTTGGCCCTGCAAATTATTTTGAGAATAAAAAAAATAAGGATTTTTATTTTTATTTTTTTTTTTAAATATCGGACCGACAGTCACAAATATAGGCTATAATGTCCGAATAGAGAATCTACCTACACCTGAAGAATGCTTATTGTACTTTAATCCATGTTGAGAGTGAATTACACACAGCACAGGCACAATCTGGCAGTGGGGTGCACTGACGCTGATAGTGGATCAATAAGTAGGTGGACAGCGCGTGGTGCTGAAATTGCCAATATGCGGTTTGTGGTGTGAAAAAACACCAGCTCACTAAATCATTCAAACGTAATGTTTACTTATATGTGAACAGTAACAAAGTTCATTGACAACAAAATCGGAGAAAGCCGCTTGATCATGGAGGGCGAGGGGTGGTGGTGCATATGCTGCCATGCCAGTTGGCAGCTTTGTTTTGAAAGAAAAGTTGATTCAAAACGCACTAAATCTTCGCACTTTGGATCTTAATAAGCTTGTGAGCAGTAGCGGACTGGCCATCTGTAGAATCTGTAGAATCAAAGAACAGCACCGCAACGCCCCCCCCCTAGCATTCGAACGTGTCACATGTTTTAACAATCAATTACTTAAATAAGTCTTTGATTATGTTCCGGCTCGCCATCTAGTGGCTCAGAAAAAAATGGTCCCAAGGCCAAACTTAATTGCAGACCCCTGGTATAAATAATAATTGATGACCTCCGTAACATAGTGAGGTCACTATGTAACATTTGAACTTCTATTTGGCTAGCACTCTATCACATTTTACATGATAGGCTAAGGGGCTGGACATCTCTAAGTGGTTGACCAATCACAGCAGTGCCTGGCCAACTAACCAATCAGAGCAGGCTGGGCTCTGGTTTCAGACAGAGGGTGAAAAGAGGTGCTGCAGAACAGGCAGTATGAAACAATAAAGAGCTTTTTGAACATTAAAGAATTTAAACATGTCACAGTAGAGACACAAAATACAAATATGAGCCTGAAAATGAGCATGATAGGCCCCTTTAATACCTCATAGTAAATAACATCTGCAGTTAGAGTCATGCTATTCCCTTTCCTTCCTTCCCAGCCAGTGGCTTCTGTCTCAGCTTCACATGTGTCTGTGTAACCGGGCAAACAGTGAAGCAGCAGGACTGATCTATAAAGCACACCAAAGCTGTAAATAATACTGTGAGGTCAGCGCTACGATCCTCTGAGGAGACCTGAAGCTCCAAAACAAACACTTGGCTTGGGCACTGCAACACTGCCGCACATAAACTAGACCTTTCATGAGCTCCTTTTTAATACATAAAGAACTGACGGCCTTTGTGTAATTTGTAATAGGATAAATGGGAAGTTTAACCTTACAGTTTAACAGGATTAATGGATGAATACATTTGGAGCGAGGCTTAAAAGGTTTTCCTGCGTGTATGTGAGGAGACTGCTCATATATGTAATGGATTATACTTGGATTATATGGCATGTATTTGGTATGCAGAGGCGGGTAGAGAGAAAAGAGATGGGAAAAGAGAGGGAGGTGATCTTTTTTATCCCCCTCTCTCCCTTGATAATATAAAGCGTGAGACTGGTTGAGAGAGAGGGGGAGGAGGGAGGAGGGAATACAGTGAAAAAAACGGAGGAAACAATCAAAGAAAAATGTAAACACGGTGGCCAAAATGCAGACAAAAGACACAACACACTCCACCTTCCTGTCCTTAACTCTCCTCTCTCTTTCTCTCCGTGGACACTTCTCTGGAATCCTCAGACTGCTGTCGGTTACTTAGCAACCAGAATCCTGTCGAAACTGTGTCAGAGAGACCGAGAGTGAGAGAGCGCTGCGCGGTAGACGAGGCTCTCCTAATCGCTGTGATCTGTCAGGATGTTTATGTCTGACACGTGTTATCAGCATTCATTTCAACATGTGATGCACACAGGCCCGCGGGAATCCATTTGTGAGTCATTATCAGGCTGCCGTTATGCTACACATTTGATGTTGTCAGAAGTTCAAAGAAAAAAGCAACTATGCGTTAGCTTGCCTCGATAACTTTCCGACCTCCTTATCCTGTCTTTAGCGCTCTCAATTTAAACATGATGACCACATGGCAACCTACGAGTGTGAAAAGTGAAGCAAATGAAAAAGGGCCTTAAACACGCATACTCGGTAGAAAGCCATCCAATTGTACGAACAAATGAAACCACAATAAACCTTTTCCTGATGTTTTTAGGTTCACAATCAGTAGTATGAAGTCTCCGTGTTTTTATCCTTAACCCTTTCACTTTATGTTTTTGAGTTGATGGAAACTCATTTTAACATTTTGTTTGCCCAAAATGTAATGTTTAGTATTTTGTTGTACTTAGCTTCCCCTTTTCTAGCCACTTCCTGTTCGAAAGAAACCTCCAAAAAACTACAGTAGAACGTATGACGGCCAAGATACCAAACTCCATCGAAGCGTCAGTTTACTAACAAAAAAGGGAATGACCGTTACATCGCCAACCTTTTGTTTTACAACTAATGAAACTCATAATGATGTCCCAGAAAACCTGATTTTGGGCCCGGCGCTTTGACACATGACTTACACAGTGGTGTCACGAAGGGTCAAAGATGTTGTCCTTCATCAGGCAGGGAGTTTTTTTTATTGAGACGCCATTTAGTTGCTGAAATGAAGGATCCTGTGTTTTTGCTTAAGTACACAACATGTCATCTACAGCTCCCATTTTGATATCACATGAAGTACATGTCATCCAGTGCAGTGTAAATATGAGCAGCCAAAACCTCAAGGTCAAGCTTATTGGTTAAACCATTTCAGGCATGATAGATAGCGCCCTCCGTGTGTGTGTGTGTGTGTGTGTGTGTGTGTGTGTGTGTGTGTGTGTGTGT